TACACAAAGACAAAGTGTCTCCAATAGTTGGACTTTAATTATTCTTGTAAATTATTTTTATTTTATGTTGCTTTGAACTCAAAAATTAAGGAATTAAATGAATTTGTTCACAATTTCATGTTCAAAGTTAGTTAGCTTGTACATTTTATTGATTTTTTTTTTAAAGTTTAAACTATAATATATGAATTTTCTAAGAGAAGAATAATTAAAATAATATCATAATTTAAAAAAAAAAAAATCAAATTAGCAACGAAAATAACAACAAAAGTTTGTTGCTAATCATCAACAAACTTAATTCCTAGGTAATTTGTGACAGAAAAATTGTTGTTAATGTCGTTGTTTCAAGTAAATCATTGATGGATAGTAATAATTCTAGGATGAAGATTAGAAGATTAGAGTTTCGGCTACAAGATTCGATGAGAAGTCTTAGACGTTTTCCTTCTTTTCTCTATAAATTACTAGTATAATGTCATACAAATGAATTTGTTAGTGTAATTGGGTGTTAAGTAGCTAAATTCTCTAGTTATTACGAACAATATAGTCTTGTTTGATTATTAATTTTCAAGTTTCGAGTTTTGACTCTAATTATGATCTTGTGTTGAATTTTAATATTTCTTTGATTGTTTTTCATGAATTTGCTTGATTTACAAATTGTTTATGAATTCGTGTTGAAACCAAATTAAAATATCAATTTAGCACTATATATTTCTATAATTTGTGCAATGGTATGTGAGTTTATTGTGATTGGGTACACTATATTTTGGGGCCGTGCTTCTCTGCCAGAAGAAGCATGACAGAAGCCCTTATCTCCACTCACATTTGAGGTGTGGGGTCACTTCTTCCTTCCATTTGTTTATTCATCTGGGCCCCGATTTTGTGAGTGTTCTGTCAACCCTTCTGGTGCCTCTCTTCTGGCACTTCAACTTTTTCCTTGTCAAACACATTAGATAAATTTATTTGCTAACACGAACGAAATATTGTGACGAATTAAACCGGATAATTATGTTGAACATGTGTGTCTTTTACATTTAAATATTGCAAATGTAATTAATAGTGCATAAATTAAGTAAATGTTTCCACAAATTAATACAACATGAACTCCGCCACGCAATCTTTGCCTCTCTTCTTTGTCCCATTAGCCATCTGCACGTGCTCTGGGAGAACGTTATTCATAATTTCAGCCATGGTAGCAAGTGGCACGGCTTCAGGTTCATGGCTGATTTTGGTTGAAGAGCTAGTTGGGTTGTTTTTGCCAGACCCTGGAATGATAATAAAAAAATTCATAAGGGTCCGTTTGATTGAAACGAATTCAATGGAAAATATCACATTCGAGAAATTTATTTACTACTTTAACTTTTTGATACGAAAGTGAAAATAGGTTCAAATTAGTACTTCAATAATCACACATCTATTTTTGCAGTCATTTTTTCATTTGCACTTTCAAAGTTAAGTCTAATATTTAAGTTTTGTAGTTATATTGATCGTAACATTTACAGCCCGTTTACTTGCAAAGGAGGAAAAGACAAACCAATTTCAAATAAGTTAGAAAAAAAGAACTACCAAAATCACAGGACTTCGATTTTCATGAAATTGTCCAAAAACATGCTTTAAATGTTTGCACCTTAGAGTTCGAACTCCATAGTTACATATAAAACCTCATATATGCAAATGAAAAAAGATTCAATATTAGGGACATTGAACTGCAGCAAAAATATTTTACATAGATTTATTTATTTTTATTAAAAAATAGTAGATAATCGAATAATATTATCTTATTTATTTAACATTATCACATGTACCTTCTTCCATTTTCCAACTTCGTCTATGGAATACGATCACGTGCACCAAAAAAAAAAAAAAAAAAACGGAAAGAAAAAGAAAAAAAAAAAAAAAAAAACGGAAAGAAAAAGAAAAAAAAAAAAAAAAAAACGGAAAGAAAAAGAAAAAAAAAAAAAAAAAAGGAAAAAAGGAAAAAAAATGGATGCTCTTTTCTTTTCGTCTGCTTAGTTTTCATTTTTGAAGAGTTATTTATAAGTTTGTGTAGCCAAAGGGAAATTGTTCGAAATTTATTAATAATTATATGTTATTTATTAGTGCCGTTTATATGAATTAATAAATATATTCGTTTAGATAATGCGTATATGTTTAATTATCATAATAACTATCGAAACTATAGTTGTTGCGCTTTGAAAAAGAATATGTTACATTAGTACATTTGTCGGAAGGTGATCAAACTTGAAATGTTTAGAGTACGGTGATTCGAATTCAATTTAGTCCGATCAGAAACTCCTAATGGATTATCAATGAAATAATGAAAATTTAGAACGTTGTTGATGAATTTTCAAAACGTGGTTAATCTAGAATGTAACACGTGGTTTGCGTATCATCTCGCAACGGTGTTGTCAAAATTATTTATATTCTAATTTCCAAGATTTTAACTGATATGTTTTTCAAATAAAATAATTTTCCACATAAACGTGAAACTTTTATTTTTTATTTTTTAATTACGCATTCCTGAAACAAATCAATTTTTACAAAATCTATTTGAAAAAAATGGAGATCAAACAAGAACTATATATAATACATGTTAATCTTTCAAAAAGGTTATTGTTGGTTCCCATTTGGGACTCAACTGGCACCAAGAATACAATATTCAACAAAAAAGTTAAAAACACAAGGATTTTTTTGTCTAGATTTAGTAATTGCTTCAAACATCTAGTCTCCCATTGAGTATCACAAACTAGAATTGGACCTGAGGAGAGATTCAAGAGAAGGCCCAAGAAAAATTGTTTTTGTTTTCCTTTTTTATTTTTTAAAGAACCACGATTATTTCACTCTTGCTCGATTGCCCAAACAATGATGCTTCTTGAACAATGATATCATGAATCAGGGTTTGGATTAGGAATACTCATTCTGTTGTGTAACACCTCATCGGGGTGTGTGTGTGTATATATATTAAACCTAGTTTTTTAATTGCTTTGACCTATATATTCTATATACTTAATTGATTACTGCATAGTTGTCTCTTAGCCCTCGTTTGGCCCCCATTAAATTTTATTACATTACATTCCATTTTTTTCTCCTATTTTCAACCACACAATCTTCCATAAAATAATATTACACGTAAATCAAAAAAATTTCATTCTTTTTCAACCACTCATTTTTCAAAAAAAAAAACACGATTCCACCCATTTTCATTTTCCGAAAATAGGGGCCAATCGGGGACTTAATTCAAAATGAAAATGGGGGCAAACGGAGGATTAATTCAATTAACATTTTCTCAAAATCCTGTTGATCGAATCATTGATTTGTTTATGGGACTGAATTGTTTTTCTCGATCTGTGATCCGCTATTATTTAATGTGAATTTGTGCCTTCTATCGGGGTAACTGGGTGCAATATATGGTTAAATATGATATAATTTAATTTTTTTTTCCATTTTATTCTATGAAAATAATTATGACTTTGAATTAAATAATTTAATTGTGACTCACAGTTTGTTAAGCCCCTATTTGACAACCATTATTTGTAAACTCTTTTTCTTATATACTCATTTTCAATCGCATATCCACATAATAAAATGTTCTGTATATAAGTCTAAATTTTTTCTTATTTTTTAATCACATATTCTCCTAAAACTCACTATTCAAAACTATATATATTTTTTCCAAATAGTGGTTGTTAAACAGGGATTAAGTTGTGAACAATTAATTTGATAATTTGTATAGTGGAATAAGTTCTAACATAAAAAATTTGTGATTTGTTACGATAAATAATATATGACCTATTAATTTGTAATTTGTGATCAAGAAATAATGCATGACCAATTACTATGATAATTTTTATCAATAAATAAGTTGTAGCATATAAAATTTATAATTTATGACCTTAATGAGTACATAATTGTGACCATAAACTGTATAACATCATGACCTTAATATATTTAATTAATAAAATATATTTAATTATCTATTTAAACCTCTGTTTGGTATAGATTAAAATAAGATTTTTAGTGAATTTTGATAAAATTTGATGAAAGAAAAATCTACATGTATATAATTATTGCACATAATGGTGTCCATAATGTGAGGTGACAATCATCCGGTTGTTGATGTGTAAGTGAGAGATTTGAATTAAACGTTGGATTCAGTGTCCCTTGATAAAATATGTGATTGAAAAATTGTGACACTAATAAAACATATTGTTAAAATTAATTGTCTATCGACTTAAATTAAATTCTTGATTTTAATTGGTAACAAACATTGATAAAATATAATTATGACATGATTTTGGAAATTTTAAAACAAATTTCTTAATTTAGAAATTGTATCTTTTCAAACATATACTATCCCCATATATCTTTTCAAACATATATAGTTGTAATACTAAACTAAATATAGTTTGGTCTGGCCCCAGGGACGAATCCAGAAGTTTAAGTCAGCACGGGCGGTCGTTGACCATCTATCGTTGGCCACAATAAAATATTAAAAGTCCTTTTGATATCCATTTTTTTTTTTATTTTTTGCAAAAAATGTATTTTGGAATGGTGATTTATTGAGAATGTGTGACTAAAAATAAAGATATTTTTTGAATTTACGTGTAATATTATTTTATTGAAAAACGTATGGATGAAAAGAAGAAAGAAAAATGTAGTTTTAAAAAAAGGGGGGGGGGGAATCTAACAAGGCCTAAAGTATAAATATATCAATTATTTTGTTCAAACTGAATATATATAATTTTGTTATAAGAATAAACAGAATTCATCAAATAATATTATTACCAAATTTTGATTAATTCAAATGAAGAGTGTGGATTCGAATATTTAAAATTGTTTGCATTAAAATAATCAAAATCTAACAAATATCATTTTATTAAATTTAGTAACACGATTCAAAAATTACCATAATGGTTAAGTTTACCATAATCCTTGCTTGAGATCACAGGTTTAAATCCTCATTGTCCCTCCCTTATTGAATTTTCGTAAAAATTATAGAATAAAAATAATACATAACAAATCCATTAACAATGATTCGAACCAAAGACTTGAAGTATGTTAAGGCTAACTCTCACCAAGTAAGCTACAGAGAATGTTTGAAAATAAAATTAATTTACCAAAAATATAAGGTAAAAATTTAATCTATTACTAAAAAAATATATATATCCCGCCTCCTGGATCCGCCACTGTCTGCCCTGTATACATTGAAAGATATTATACCACTCGTCTCCCTAGATGGAGAACACACACTTGGTTAACCACCCCAAATACTACATAACATTATTAGTTTGAATTTGGGCTTTGCAACGAGGTTTCTTCTTTTGGTTCATCTCTATCCTCTGTTTTATTGACCTGAAAAACATAAAAAATCATCTCATAATTAATAATTATATTACAAAATTTACTGAAAAACGAACAAAAACTTTCAGTGATGAAGAATTCATTGAATTAAATGTAAACTGTTTGTGGTCCACATGATCAATATAAAGTTAAATAAATTTAAAATTTAAATGATGGATTAATTAACTGTCTAGCCAATTTCCCATTTGATTATTTGAGGGAAGTTATTGCAGGAAAAAAAACCACCCACTTCTATGATGGATGGAAGTTGTTTGATGGGCTGTGCTATACGAACATAGGAGTTGACACAACGGTTGACATAGCACATACACGAGGAGGTCGACAATATTTTGTTCGCGTGAAACCCACGCTTCGACTGTGAGTGTAGTGTCATTCTTTGTGTCAAACATTATGTTCGTTTGACATTTTCCGTTGTTTGGTGGTGTCTATATATGTGCTAAATGGTCCCTAGCAATACCTTACAAAATCCTTGTAGAATTTTCTTTTTAAAATTGAAGGTCCTGAGTTTATTTCCATCAAATTAAAGGGTTATCAAGTGGGTATTAGCTAGAAGACATTTGGTGCTTATTTTTCTGCAATTTTCAATTAAATATTGAATGATATGGCTGGAGCTAAACATTAACAGGCATTTTAATTTCTTACATTAGTAGCTTATAAGGAAATGGAAACACTGCAGGTAAGATAGAATTGGAAACGACACTTGCCTTTATTTGATCTTGTTTCTTCCTCTTTTCGTTTTCCTTCTCTCTCAATGATCGAACTGAAGATACCCTCTATAGCACAGAATCAGAACAAAATTAATGGATTAATTCCCACAATTAACAGATCTACATATAATTTTCAATTATTTGATGTTTTCGAGTTTAGTTCTTAAACCAAGATCCAACTTTACCATGCAATATAATTTAATCTCCTGCAATCGATATAAGCGATCGACCTCAATTTCAAGCTGATTCTGAGATTCCCCTCTATTTAACAGCTCCTTCATTTTTAAATCGAGCATCAGATTCCTTTCGTTCATCATCTTTTCAGTCTTCTCTTCATCTGTCCTCATCCTTTCGAGCTTTACGCGAAGGGAATTGAGTTCCTCATTTAGCGATGCATCAAAGGAATCGAAATTGAAAGATTCATACTTGGCTGGAGCGGCATATATGGGAGGAACATTCTCCTTGTTAGCATCGTCTACATGATGATTTGGTTTTGATTTGGAGTTGGTTGTGATTGGAGTGAGGAGTGAGTTCACGGGTTGCAGAGGTTTCCGGCAGTTTTTTTGCTGGTGTATCGTCTTACCGCCGGAGAATGGAGATTGAGCCGCCAGCATTTTTTTTTCTGTACTTTTTTGTGTGTGAAGAAATTGAAAGAGGAAATGTTGTTTTATTTTGGAATTTGGAGGTGGGAGTGGGAGTGGGAGTGGGAGTGGGATTTTGAATTTGAAAAAACGCAGGCGGAACAATTGCTGCTTTTTCCTTGGTAACAGGTTCATAAAGTGGAGGATTTAAAAAAAGAAAAAAAAAAGAAAAAAGAAAAAAGGGCAGCTTGGAATCACACACACAAAATCTCATAGCCAGCCTTAGTGGCATAGTTAAGCGGTTTGGGCCAAGATGATTCGATATGGCGGTGTTGAAATGAGTTGAGATTTGCGGTTTATTTATACTATTCATCTTATTGTAAATTGACACATAATAGAAAATGGGAAGCATTTCTCCTATGCATGAATTTGACAAGTATTTTTGACAAATAATCGTGACCTTTAATTTAAGAAAATTCAACTATTAGTCTCTCATGAATTTTAAGTGGTTATAAAAAACTCTCTCATAATTCTAGTGAAATGCATACTAAACTCTCTCATAATTCTAGTGAAATGCATACTAACCTTTATATTTGTTTAAATTAAAGGTCACGATTATTTGTCAAAAATATTTGTCAAATTCATGTGTAGGAGGAACACTCCCAGTAAAAAATTACATGTCAATTTGCAATCGAGTAGACAATAGATCATATCTCCGTTGAAATGGTCTAAAGTTATCTACTGGACGCTTGTACAAAACATTAAAAAAAATATAAAATTTGGCACTATTCTTTTTAGAATTAAGCCCACTCACACGATTAGGCCCTCGATTATTTAAATCGTGGGGCCTACTTTTGTGATGTGTGAGGCTGTAAAAAATGATGTAAAAAGAGCTATACTTGTAGCATATTTGCTCTTTTTATTCACGTAACCGACTCACCTGTACCTAGGGCTGTAAACAAAAACAGCCAAAAAAGAAAATCAAACCGAAATCGCATTTTAGAAACTGTAGGTTTGGAGTCACGTGAATCTGGTCAACGAAATGGTTTTGAACCCAAACCAAACCGGTTAAAATGGTTTGGTATAGGTTTGAGATTTTTAATTGCGATTTAAAACCAAATCAGATCGACGAAAAAATATATAAAAATAAAGAAATGAAAAAATGAATTTTTTTTCTGAAAATTCATCCAAATATGTAAAATTCAATAGTTTTGTCATTTGTGAATATTTTTGTCAATTTCTAATTTTCTAATACAGATATATTATTATTATTATTATTCGATAATCTTAATATATATCTAATAATCTCAAGACTAACATAATCTATCAAAAGTCATTTTCCTCTTCAGAATTTAGATGGACTCCAAATGACACCCAACACAGTCTTGAGCCACCGGAATTCATATTTTCTAATTTTCTAATACAGATATATTATTATTATAATTATTATTATCCAATAATCTTAATATATATATATATATATATATATATATATAATAATCTCAAAACTAATATAATCTATCCAAAGCCATTTTCCTCTTTAGAATTTAGATGAACTCCAACTGACATCCAACACAGTCTTGAGCCACCGAAATTCATATTTTCTAAATTTACTTATAAAGCGATTTCACTTTGATTTAATTGGTATTTAAATTTATAGTAAATATATTTAGCCTCTATTTGAGCCATATTTTTCATATCATCATAACGAGAATATTGACCGTTGGAGAGGAGGTTGTGTCCCACACATGATACAGCAGATCAACAAAGGCGGCTGGACTTATGGGATAACGATCCAATTTTTCATTTTTTGTTCCAAAAATTTGGTTCAAACAAGGATTTAGTTTGTTTTAGATTTATTGCTAGTAAGATATAAATATATATTGAATTCAATAAATTAATGACATAAAAGTAGAAGAGCAAAAAAATATATAACGAAACCGATGGTTTAAAATAGGACCAAACCGTTAGGTTTACGTTTAATTTTTTTTTCTTCAAACCGTTCAAAATGATTTGGTTTAAGTTTGAGTTTTTCTCAAACCGATTTAAATGGTGTGGTTTGAAAATTTGTTAAAAATCGATAAAATTGGACTGCTTACACCCCTACATGTACCCAAGAAGTTATACAGTTCGATCAACGGTGATTGTTCCGCATAGTTTCCTATGATTAATTACTATATTAAGCCCCTGTTTGGCCCCCATTACCTGAAAATGGTAATGGGGGGAATAGTATTTTTTAGGAAAATGAGTGGTTGAAAAAGAAAGTAAAGTTTTCGATTTACGTGTAATATTATTTTATAGAAGATTGTATGATTGAAAATAGGAGAGAGAAAAATGGAATGTAATGTAATGTAATTTAATGTTAATCAAACAGGGTGTAAGCCGTCGTTTGGTTCTCATTTTGTGTATATAAAAATGGGTTGAATAGTATTTTTTTTTGAAAAAAGAGTGGTTGAAAAAGAATGAAATTTTTTTCGATTTACGTATAATATTATTTTGTAGAAGATTGTGTGGTTGAAAATAGGAGAAAGAAAAATGAAATCGAACGGAATAAAAATTAATGGATGGCAAACTGGGGCTAAACTAACAAGTTTAACACTGCTAGCAAGGCCTACTGGCCCAGGCCTATTCGCTCAGTTGGTTAGATGTCATGCTAACAACGCGAAGGTTCGAGACCTGCAGGGGCCAGCCTCTATGAAAGTTTTCTTTTCCTGTGGAACTTTTCTCCCTCTATCATTTAATAATTTAATTATTCACCCACCCCTAAGTAGTATTATTTTTTCCCTACAACAGATTTGCAGAAAAATTTGAACCTTTTGTTTTCAAGAAAAAACTATAGTTTTTGAATTGGAAAAAAAATAAAATCTTTGATCCAAATTGTAGAAAAATCCCTGTACTGCTGCATCGTTGTATCTTCACACTCCACATACCCCCAAAACAAATGGATAAACCTAGGATTGACGCGCGTAAAATGCCCATCTTTCTTTCCTTAGCAAACACAAACTCGCGCCATCGGTTGTCTGTTTCAGGATCACTTCATGGGCTCTCTTCTTTCCCCTACTGCAACCACTTTTCATCAAGATTCTATACCCATTTTTTTCTCCCCATCAAGAGACTCAAAACCCATTTCACAAGGAGTTGTTTGGTCTACTTGGAGGAAAAATTCAATCAAATGCAATGCATTTCTTGATGACATTTCAGCGAATTTGATGAAAAAGCCAATTGATTTGGACCAATCATTGTCCCAATTCCCTCTTTTTCAGGAATTACAGAGAGTAACTGGGGAATTACCAGAAGTGCAGAAGTTGGGGATTTTGGTTTTTGCTGGTTTTACTTGGATTTATTTGACTGCTAGGCCTGGAGTCTTGATTGGGGCAGTTGATGCATATATTCTGGCACCTCTGCAAGTGGGATTCGATAGTTTGATTGGAAGGAAGAATTTGAAAATGACCGATTTCTTGATTGGAGATAAATTAGGAGAAGGGTCATTTGGTGTTGTTTATTCTGGAGTAATCATCCCAAAGAACGTCAATTTGAATGAAACAGTACAGAAAAGAGGTAGGCGAAAAGCTTTGAGGATTGACGAAAGGTTTAAAGAAAAGGTTATTCTCAAGAAGGTAAAAGTTGGGATTTATGGATAACAATCATTGTTTGTTTTGGTTAAATATAAATGTGTGAGTTTTTGACTTGGATCGTTCATATTCTTGATTTTTACTCTCAAGTTTGAATTCTTCAGATACTTAAGATTGACAAGTATTGATCGCTTTCTCTTCCGTTGCATATATCCTTTTCGTTTTGTTTGAAATACTGGTTGTATCCAGGAGATATCTTATGCTGTTCATTCATTTGAATCTTGTAATTATTGTAAAATCTTTCTCAAAACTGAAATTTTTAGATACTTGAGAAAGTATGTAGGTGGAAAATTGAAAAGTATTGATTGCTTATCTGCATTACATATATCCTTTTCTATTTGTTAGAAATGCTGGTTGTTTCAAAAGAGATATCTTGAGCTCATCATTCATTTGCATCGTGTATTTATTGTAGAATTTTTCTTTTTATAGTTATTTGTAAGCCCATAAATTTGGTTATATACAAATTTTTATATTCATTCTAGTATTTTTCTCTCAACTGTTTCCAGTTTATAATTCATGAGATGTATAATCATTTTTCTATTTGACGAGTTTGCTAGCTTAAAAATGAAATCTGTAATCCTCTTTGGTTGCTTCTGATTTTTAGTTTGTGTATAGGTTAAAATTGGAGTTCAAGGTGCTATAGAATGTGGTGATTTTGAAGAGTGGTTTAATTACAGGCTGTCTAGAGCAGCCCCTGAGACGTGTGCAGAATTTCTTGGAACCTTTATAGCAGATAAAACCAATACACTATTTACAAAGGGTGAGAAATGGCTTGTCTGGAAATTTGAGGTACTTATTTTATTAGCCAATTTACTGAACTTGCTGTTTTCACAAAAGATTTACTTGCTGAAGTCTGTGATTTTAGAGAGTTCCAGAGAATGCAATTTATAAGGTGATCTGTTCGTCTAACTATCTATTTGGGAAAGAGTGGCTTCAGTTTGCAAAAATACTACTACACCTATGCAGAATCTGTTAATTATTATAAAGAGTATCACTCTCAATTTCATTCTTTATTTGAAAAACGGTTCAGGTATTTTTCATTGGTTTTTTGTAATGCATATGCTGGAGAAACAGAAAAGGGGATGGACCTTTTGTTTGAACAATTTATGTTGGAAGTATAAATACGAAACATTCTTATCCCTCTCAAAATTATTATTGTGAAATTCACAAATTTGATTGCTGTTGGGACATACAAATCTCTCTCTTTAAAGAATGGAAGTGTCTATAAAGTGCTCTTATAGATTTAAAATGGATGATGATATTTGGCGTGCTTTAAGATGTTATAATGCTGCCCTTATTTTCTGTAGAGAGCAAAAATGGTATTCGCCAATTTATGTTTTGATCATCCACAAGTTTGTTCATTTAAATTTTTGGATATCACTTCATGATCGTTAATCACAAATGCCACTCTTACTCCATGATCATAGTTAACACAAGCCATTTAAGTGATTTTTTACAATGGTTTTCTTTATATTTGCCATCTGCATTAATTTTAGAGAAGCTTCACGTTGCAGGGTGATCGTGACTTAGATGATTACATGAAAGATCGTGGATTTCCTTTGAATTTAGAGTCTGTCATGTTTGGTCGTGTCTTACAAGGGATAGATTCTATTGAACGCAATGCGTTAATTATCAAACAAATAATGCGCCAGATTATTACTTCCCTCAAGAAAATCCATGACACGGGCATAGTTCACCGAGATGTAAAGCCATCCAACTTGGTAGTCACCAAAATGGGGAAAATCAAACTCATCGATTTTGGGGCAGCTACAGACCTTCGAATAGGTAAAAACTATGTACCAAATCGTGGATTGCTCGATCCTGATTATTGTCCTCCTGAACTGTTTGTAATGCCTGAGAAAACTCCTAAACCACCACCAGAGCCAATTGCTGCCCTTCTTTCTCCAATATTGTGGCAGGTACGATCTTTTTAACTCCTTATTTATTTCTTACTCTTTTGTAAAAGCATGATGCGGAAAAATGAATATTATTCTCTAGTAAATGAATAAAAAGGAAACTATTCCATTCGTCCAATTAGATCGAAGCTCATCTAGGAGACTTGTTCAAATTCAGCATTCTTCGAAGATGTTAGATTTTTGGCAAAATGCTGACATGATTTTTCTGCTTGCAGCTTAACTGTCCCGATCTTTTCGATATGTATTCTGCTGGAATTGTACTCCTTCAAATGGCAATACCAAACTTAAGGTCTACAGCAGGACTGAAAAACTTCAATATAGAATTGAAGGGAGTTGGTTATGACTTGAATAGATGGAGGGAGAAAACTCGGATGAGGCCAGACCTCGGTATTCTTGATCTCGACTCTGGTAGAGGGTGGGATTTGGTTACTAAACTTATTTCAGAGAGAGGTTCACTGGGAAGGGGGCGTTTATCTGCTGCAGCTGCTCTAAGGCATCCATATTTCTTGTTAGGTGGTGATCAAGCGGCAGCAGTTCTCTCGAAATTGAGTTTAACTAAGTAATGAGTTGCTGGGAATGTGAGTAGATTCCCTTTAGGATTATACTTTGAGGCACAATGCTGCAGTTTGTCTTTGTGTAAAACTCGGCTATCTTTGATGCAGATACTATAAAAAGGAAGGAGCAAAGGTTCTCATCATCTCGTACAAATGTCTTGCTTGCCTCCATCAGAAATTGACTCTACTAGTTGTTTTTTGCAGGTGTGTGTATATATATATATATATATGAACTTTGAAAATAACGTAGCTGTGTGTTTCTCTCACAGGAATACTTGAAGATGACAAGATCCTTTTGTTCAGCTTGGAGATAAACTGATAATTAATTGTTGTGGGCAGATATTTGTAACTTAAGAAAATATTGCTGCAAATTTTCATAATTTTTGAACCTTTCATCGATCAACTTAATTTTTTGAATTTTGATGTTACGAAAAATACAAACTTTACGTCCTTGTGAGAATTCGATAAAGAGACAAATAACAGTAATAAGTGGAGGAGCTAAATCAAATACACAAATTTGTCAGTTAAGCCCTTGTTTGAGCTCCATTTTTGGGAAAATAATGAATTTTTGAATAGTGTATTGATGGGAAATGTGTGATCAGGGCCGTACCTGTGTTTCGTGAGGCCTGAGCCGAATTTCAAAATTTGAGCTCCTAAATCATAGCAAGCAGTGTTTTTTTTTTTTTTTTTTTTTTTTTTTTTTTTTTTTTTTTTCTCATTTATAAGAGTTTTATGGAATTAAATTTGTTAAGTTAAAATCAACAATAAAACAATAAATAAAATAAAATAAATATACAAAATATTCATATTATAATGTTTTAAACAATAACTTTAATACAACTCGTCTTGCGATTTTAGAGACAAAAAATCAATCAATTTTGAATAGTGAAATTGTCCAACCATAAGGCAAATCCATAAGAATGACAACATAAATTAATACATAATAATTAATTAATCACTTGATAGTCAATATTCATGAAACCCTCATAAGTCATAAATCAAAGGCAATTGAATCCATATATACCATCATCGAGTTATAGAAAACACTCAAAGAAAACCATAATAAAATTTATTGAACCCATGCCTCCTATTTTATGTGATTGGGTTGAAACTATACGAGTTTTGTGGAGATGTTTGCATATCTTACATTGAAAAGTCAATCTAATATTCCATCAATATCAAAGAAAAATAGCAACCAAAAAGTGTGCAGTATGTTCAGAAAGTAGGTGAAAATTTTGATCCAAAGAAAGGGGTATAGAGTACACTTAAATTGGCAGTAATATTGATATACATCCTCACTTTTGTTACACAATGAAATGAGTATTTCTAATCCAAAACTTGCAGTACCACCAAAACCACCACATTCACACTTGGCACCAAAATAGAGGCCAAATAATAGAGCAATGCAAAAATTCCAATGAAGCAAAGTAAATATCCCACAATAAACTTATTATTGAAAATACTTGTATGAACAACAAAAAAATATATAATTTCCCGAACTCTCAAACATCAGTGGCTTTCTGTTTCTTACATGATCATAAAATATAAAGTTTTCCGAATGTGAAATAAAAAGAAAAAGAAAAAATAAATAATGTAGGCACACAAATGCAAAATCAATAAAAATCCATGAAAAAGCTTTATTTTATAAAAATCGGTTAATTTAAAAACTATGGCATTTATAAAAGTCATTAGAAACTAATAAAAGTCTAAATATACATAAAACAATTAATTTTTGTTGCAAATCATATATAAATAAAAAAGAATGGGCAAATCAATCAAAACAAAAAATAAAAAAAAATTCAAGCAATTTAACTTCAAATGTATAAAGTATTGTTACCGGAATCATGATATAATTGTTGAAGAAGCCTTATTTTGTATGGAGCAAGACTATATTAGTATAAACGGGTTGGATTTTAGATAAGTTAAGAATTGAGGAGGAGGCTTAGGTTTTTATTTAGTGGGACAATTATTGGAGGTTTTGAATGTTATTAGTGGAATTTAAGGAAAAAAAACCAAAAAAAATAAATTATTTTTTTGGGCCCTCTAAAGATGTGGGCTTGAGGCGATGGCCTCTTGGATCTCTCCTCAGGTCCGGCTATGTGTATGATTAAAAAATAACGAAATTTTTTGAATTTGAGTGTAATATTATTTTATTAAAGAATGTGTGGTTAAAATGATGTCAAAATACTGCTGAAAAATGATTTTTTTCAAAAGAATGAGGCTCGAACAAGGGCTAAATTTAAAAATCAATTGTCACCTACAAAAATCATGGGATAGACTCTTAACTTGAGGCTCTCGTAAAAATACAATCCCTTAAAATTAATAGAGAAAAACATATTTTTTTTTGCTTCTTTTCTTCTCTTTACGGTTTCGTATCGACAATTTTGTTTGAAACACCATCGCTGTTTGTTTTCTAATTTTATTTTAATGTATTTTTCTCTTTTCTTTTTTCAACCACGCAGTTTTCAATAAAATAATATTATACATCCTCCAAAGAATCACTATTTTCAAAATTCATTTCTATATTTACTTTAAAAGAGCAATATCTTCCTTTTCATCATCATCTTCATCTTAGTGAGAATCATTTCGTCAAGTCAAATAACAAACCTCTTTTCAATTCATACTTCTTTCACCAATCTAATATTTAAAATAGAAACCCATGATGTTATTTAATTAAATTCTTGTTATAAACACATTAAATGGAACTATAATACCCCGCGACAACTTAAATACTGTTTTAGAGTCTTGTCAAATTCAATTCAATTTGTCACAACGTGTTTGACATTAAGAGTCCGTTTGGTGCACATTTTTTAGATGAAAATGCATTTTAAACATCATATCGCGGGTCTCCCATTAGAGTGTAGAAGTCAAAAATTGTGTGCTGATGTGACGGAAAAAATGCATTTTTGGCTCCAAAAATGAGTACCAAACAGGGGCTAAATCTCCTAAATTACTTTTTTACGGAATTCTAATTACTTTTATTTTTATTCCATAGAAACAAGATTGACTCTAATCAGCGTTCCCATCAAACATGATGAATTTGATTCTCATTTTTTTTATTTTTTTTTTCCATAAAATGTAATTTATTTGACTTCAATAGAGAATAAAAGTACAACTCCTTAAAACTATTATTCTAAAACTTTGTGCTGGCAATGAGCAAGAATTAGAAAAGACATTAGTGGGTTGGATTGAAACTGGATACACCAGTTAACGCCGTGATGCCAGCTATCGGGGTCCCACCCTCAAAAGATACAACTCTGTGGAAAATTTCATCCGTGTGGTCATTCAAGTTTAAGCAAAATTTCAACTGGACCACAAAATTTTAATTTCTTTTATTTTGGATCATTAAATTTTAATATAATTTTAAATTTTACTATTATGTTACATTCCATCACATATTGTCCCTCAAATTAATAAAATTATGCAGCTGACAATAAAACTTTAAGCAAAAACTGTCAAACCAAATATGCCTTATCGAAATTGTCAATTTAGACCTTGTTTGGTCCTCCATTATTTTCAAAATATATTTTTCCTTCTCTTATTTTCAACTATTCATTCTTCAATAAAATAATATTACACACAAATTTTAAATTTTTTCTTATTTTTTAACTACACATTCTCTATCAAAATCCTATTCCAAAATGCATTTTAGTAAAAAAAAAAAAAAAAAAGGGGCTAAAACGGGTTTTTAGTGTATGCGGACCCGTGAATGAAACTATTTGAATTAGATTTCGATATTAAAATTAAAATGAAAGGTTTAAATTTCCAATGAAAATTTGTCCAATGGACAATGATCGTGCTCCTTAACTATAACTTTAACCCGAAAGAAAGTTTTAACTATTAAAACTTTAAAATAGATATAGATATTTTGGTCATTAGTTTTGATAAAAACAATCAATCATTAAAATTGCTCGCTCATACACCAAATTCTTATCTTCATGCCACAGATATTGAACTCTAGATAGTATCACAAAACTCATTAGGTTTCAGTTTCTATGGTGAGAATCGGGAAGATCATGTTCGGAAGTATTAAGTCGTATTGTGACTTCATTTTTTTTAATAAAGTTATAAGACTTTGACCTGCAAGACGATAGACAGATGGGAACATATAGTTTTTATTTGTATGAATATAGCCTAAACAAGTAAACAAACACTTGCATGGTTCCTATTGGGATTTTGATCATATTTAGATCTTAAGACTCAGCATAAACTTATCCATCAAGGAACTAATGAGTCATATCACTAATGTTTAGCATAAGCTAAGCACAATGCTCAAGAGATCATTTCTCTATCCTTCTACATAATAATTTAATTTATGTTATCGCCAAAAAAGTCGTAATGGTATTTTATAATCAATAAACTAGTAATGTGTAATTGGTAAGTTTTTGAAGCTGTTTTAAACGGTTTGATTTAAGTATGAATTTTTGTCAAATCATTTTAAAATATTTAGTTTGAAAATAAGTTAAAAATCGCCAGACCGCTTATGGCTCCAATTCATAGTATACCATAATTGATTTTCCATGTAATTATTATGTTACACCCTAAAAATAAAAATGGTAAAAATAAGGTTATGACTGTCTATAAATTAGGAATAGCATGATTGATGTTTTGAGAAGTTACCTCGTGTTGTCCTGACCTAAATGGAGTGAGGAATCCCCACCTTGAATGGTAAACAGAGTGTGAAGAGATGTTTTCCAATTGAAACCTTATTTTAAGACAATATATAAACAAGGCGATGAATGTGATTATTTAATCCCGCTCCGCTTTGTCCTTCCCCTAAAATTCTTGATAGGGTGGGAATGGTATTGGTCATCCTAACTCCACCATGCCTACTTATCATCCTTGGGCATAATGATAAATTGATATGTTACTTAACGAATATGTAAAAGATCTATTACGATATTGGTTTCCAATTAAGCGATTTTCATCTTTTAGAAAATGATAAATGACATGGTGATCAACTTTAATTAAAGTTCAATAACCCAATTTGAAACTAAGCCTATGTTTGGCTCATGTGTTATAAAGAGTTTATACGCTCAAATTACTTTTTATTCATACATTTTGAGAAATTCATAAGTACTATCCACAAAATTATACTTGTTTAAAATTATACTTGTTTGGGAAGTATTCATAAAATTATAAATAGATATAAATGAATGGCGGATATGTGAGTAATATTTGAGTATCCCACAAAATGTGTGAATAAATAATAATTTGATCTTTTATAAACCGTTTTTAAACATTAGCCAAAAAAAGACTTATTTACAATTTATTTGAAATGTTTAAATGTTTATAAACACTTTCTAAACCTACTTTCAAAATTCAGTGACCCAATTGAAATTTTTCTGGAACTCCAATGCCGCAGATGAAATCTCCATTACAATTGCGAGTAAAAACTCTAATGAGGATACGCTCCAAGCTTCAAGAAATTTAAGAAAACACGCCTCCCATTCCATTGTCTGTTTTCACGCGTTCCTGCGAATTATATATGCATTGCATATAAAGAGAATAATAATTAAATTATGAAGCTTACCCTGTCATCATTTAAGAACAAACTAGGAAATCAGCTTAACCACATTTTCAGTTTTTTGTTTTTCAAAATTTATCTCTCTGTAACTTCCTTCTGATCTAAGTTTGAACTCTGAGAGCTTTTTTCTTTGATTTTCTGTGCTAATTCAAGCTTAGCATCCGGATTTTTTATTCATTGCGGTTGTGGGCAGCTGACAAATGACTTAAAGTTTTCAATTCTTTGGAGTTTTAAGCGCTTATTGTCGAGGTGATTATCCTTTTTTCCTGATTTTCTTTAAGTCTTTAACTTGCAATGGATTATGAGTTCTTTTTCCTCTTTAGAATATTGCTTTCTTCAGCTGGGTTTTAATAGATCTATGAAGCTTTCCTGTTCTAGAGTAGTAAAATTCTCACCTTTCTTGAATGCGAGAGATCTTGGTATTTAACTGCAGTGAATTTAAATTCTTGGGGGTAGAAATATGTTTGAAAATAAGTTGTTTAATTTATTATCGTTGGCAAATTGAGTTTCTACAGTAGATATTTTCTCAAGTTTTTGTTCTTTTTTTTAGTTCAAAACTAATTGTTTTCAATTTTCCAGAATTTTCGCGTATTTTTCCGGCATTTAGCAATCATCTATGAGGAACAGCAATAATTCTTGGCTTTCATCAATTATCAGTTTTTTGTTATTGGCCGTTTTGGTTGATTATATATCAGCAACTGATTATGTACCAACAGATAGGATTTCATTGAACTGTGGAGGTCCCCCTGATTCTAGTGATAATGATAATCGTAAATGGACATCAGATATTGGATCGAAGTTTGCATCTTCTCGCGGAAACTCTTCGACCGCCTCTGCTGCTACCCAGAAACCCTCTGTACCCAATGTACCTTATATGACTGCTCGGATTTTCCGATCCGAGTATACCTATACTTTCCCTGTTGCAACAGGCCGTAAATTTGTCCGTTTATACTTTTATCCCACATCTTATAATGGGCTAGATGCTTCCAATGGCATCTTCAAAGTTACTTCTGGTCCATATACCCTTTTGAAAAACTTCAGTGCTGCACAAACTACTGAAGCGCTGAACTATGATTTTTTGATGAAGGAGTTCTCTGTTAATGTCCCGTCCGAAGTTTTAAGTCTAACTTTCACACCATCCCAGGATATTTCTGACTCTTATGCATTTGTAAATGGGATTGAAGTGTGAAAATTGTAAGAGGTGTCGATTTGACAATTGGATCTGTGGCTGGTTTCTTGTATTATTATGTTAAGTTCTTGGGTTGCATGTATTAATTCAAACGAAACATTCTTTTATTGCTCGAAGAAAAATGTTGTGGTTTTGTTGGTCGTTTTTTCTACTTACAAATGGAGATTAGTGTTGCACTTTACTTGATTGAAGGGATGTTTGAATGAGTAAATTCATTCCTCACTAACTATTCTATTGTGGATTTTACTTTTTATGCAGAGTCATGCGATTGATGTTCTGAATATCATTAATTTGACCTTTTCTTTTCTTTTCTTTATCATATATTTTAATCCGATACGTGCAAGCCATGATGTGTGTACTTTGAGCCTGCCACTAATTTGTGAGGATTAACACATTCTATTGATTATTAAATATTTATTGATTCTTTACGTAATAAATAATTGGGATAATTGAGAAACTCTCAAGTTTATATTCATAAACAAATAGTAAGTTACAATGAACTCTAATACTTTCTTTTAATGAAAAGTAAGAAACTTTAACTTACCATTATAAATATTAAGGTTTCGGAAAATAGTTAATCTTTGAATTGAATGTTGATACAACATTCATTTTACAAGAAAATTTTAGTGGGACACAATTTGCAAGCCAAGAAACACTATGCATCAAAATTTAATTAGTGGAATGGAACATATAAGATAATGACAGAAGTATTTTAAAAATAGATTTTGTGAAAAGTGAATTTTTTAAGGAATTTGTGGTTGAAAAGTATAAAAAAGTTAGGTGCAAAATTATTTTATTGAGAGATTGTGTGTGATTTAAAAAAAAAAAAAGAAAAAAAGAAAAAAAAGGGAGTTTAGAGAATGGAAGCCAAACATGGTTACAAATTTATGTTTTGATTGGATCGAAAATAATCCATCCAGTATTCAATTCTACCATATAGGTTAGGGGGTGAGCTGATAGGCCCATTTAAGTTTAAGGTGAACTGAGACAGCAGATTCAGAATCAACAGTAGCCTGCCATTAGCTGCCATATTACACAATTTTTACACGCCCTCAAAATAAAGTATTTCTGTGAATATAACCTGCAAACGTTTGGATTAATTTTGGTTACAAATTTGAATTCGGAATACATACCAGGCAAGGTTTTCCTTTTCCTTTTCCATTACATACATACATACATACATACATGTAGAATAATGGATATAGGATGATTTCACATTTCATGTCCTGACATTCGACCATAGCTCTGTTTTTTTGGGTTAAGATGTTCACAAAATAAAGTTATATTATTAGAAGCTTGCAATTAGAGGAGAGGAGAATGCAGATGTAATGATCTGTTTGCTAGTAATTCTATGACTTTATACACCTGTTCATTTCTATGATGGTACTATTTCCCAAGCTGTGGAGAGGGATTTTGAACAACCAAATGGAGCTCAGCTCAGCTCTTTGTTTGCTAATAGGTGTAAGGATTTTTTAATCTATCGATGGGTTTATATGTGTGAATAATTGTGTGTTAAATTAAAAACTTTTAAATTCGGTTGAACCCAATTAAAGTGATCTAATAAGACTGATATTGAGCTTTAATGTATCCAATTAAAGTGTGGGTTCTATATGTATAGAGATCGGGCCCAAGTCCTAATTCTATGATGGGCCGAATTAGGTCAAAGTGCATTGCTATATAAATATGATTATGGTCCCCAAATCATACGTATCTTTTGCTCATTCTATTCTGTCTCTCATCGTTTTAGAGAATTACGGACTGCGTGTAGATTTGGAAGACAATACCGCAAGGTTCAATTATTGCAAATAATCATGTCTGATTCAGGTACACTTTGGCTATATTTCTTCAATTTCTTGATAATTTAACATGAAAGATTCGGTGATTTAAAGTAATAAATTATTCTACAAGTGGTATTAGAGCCTTTTCGTATTGAATCATTGAGATTTAAAGGTTTTAATTTGGTTCTTGTAATATTTTATTGAGTTTTCAAATTTGCCAATTTTAGATCTTTATTTTGTTGAATTTGAAAACTTTTACGGTATATTTGTAGTTATTATCTTTCATTATTCGGATTAAAAGGTTGAATAATTTTAAGATTATGAATTAGTTGAGGAATTACATATTATTTATTATTTATTATTATTATTATTTTTATATGGATTTTGGTTTTGGATTCAGATTTATGAAATTTAAAAAAAAAAAAAAGATTCAATTTTTGGGTCGCATCGGCGACAGTCACTGCTGTGCCGCTGCTGTGACATAGTAGCAGCGCTTGCTTCTGCTACAAACAGCAGCTCCCAGAGTTGCTGTAGCACCGGGTCTGCTTTTGGGGAGGGGCGCCGACTCTGCTACTTGCGGCGCGCATCGAGAGAAAGATTTTTTTTTAAAGGTTTTTAGTTTCTTTGTATTTTGGGGACGGGGGCCTCTTGTGTAAATTGGATAACTTGAGGCTCCTATTTGCAATTAGGGTTAGGGTTATAAAATTAAGGTTTTGGTCCCTCACATTTAAGGTATATTCAAGTTTGGGCATTTAAGTTTTGGATTTAATAATTCAGTCCCTAAAGTTTAAAAGTTAATTAATTCTGGCTATTAGAGTTTTGAATTTATAATTAAAGCCCTCAAACTTTAATTATTAATTCAAATTGGCCCCTAAAATTTATAATTAATTCAAATTGACCCCAAAAGTTTCAAATTTTCAAAATTTGTTCCCTAAAGTTTTGGATTGGTCAATTTTTGGCCCCTAAAGTTTTAAATTTGTTCTAATTGATCCTCTAAGGTTTTGAATTAATTATGGTCCCTAAAGTTTCAAGTTTATTAATTTTAACCCCTAAAGTTTGGAATTAATTAATTTTACCCCCTTAAAGTTTTGAATTATTAATCTCAAGGCCCCTAAAGTTTAAAACTAAGTCAAATATGCTAAATTGGCGATTCTCTTTATCAAATTTTGGTACTATGGACTCTTTTAAGAGATATAATGTTCGAAAGTTAGTTAATTAAAGCAACATGTTGCCAAAGCAATATTTTTTGTGAAAATTAATTAACTTAGAATATTAAAAGGTGTTTGTGCATGTGTTATTCATGAGAATATTGGTCGGCCCAAAGGAAAGTCAATATTTAGCCAAATACACATGCACCTGTGGTGATAAACATGTGATGGTTATTTGATTTAATGTGTAATCAATAAATTGGTCCAAAGAAAGGTTTATTGATTGACACGTTGTTTTATTGTCAATGTTTAATCACTACGCCAGGAGTATCGCTTACAAGTCAATATTTCTGTTTTAAGACTAGATATTGATGTTGTGCTAGGTATCTTGTGATGGGTCTTATCATTATTTGAGAATATTATTATTTGCATATTAAAGATATTCATGTGAGCTATTCATAATAATCGTCTTCTAATTCAGTTTTAGGTTCTGCTGCTAATATCTCTGTTAGCATCAATTCAATTTCAATGCTAAATGACACAAATTTCAGGGCATGGCAAGAGAACGTGATGATTGTTCTCGGAATCATGGACCTAGACCTTACTTTACGGGTCGATCAACCTACTGCACTTACTGATAAGAGTACCTCTGATGACAAGAGGGAGATGAAAAAATTGGAACGATCGAACCGCATAAGTTTAATGGTCATGAAGCATGCTATTCCAGAAGCATTCAGGAGTACTATGTCCGATAAGGTGACTACGGCTAAGGGTTTCCTTGAGGATCTTGAGAAGAGGTTTGCCAAGAATGAAAAGGCTGAAACAAGTACACTTTTGGCAAACCTTATCTCAATGAGGCATAAATGGAAAGGAAACATTTGGGAGTACATTATGGAAATGTCTCACATTGCTTCAAAACTAAAGGCACTTAAGTTGGATTTATCTGCAGACTTGTTAGTGCACTTGGTTCTGATATCCTTTCCAGCACATTTCAGTCAATTCAAGATGAGCTACAACTGTCAAAAGGATTCATGGTCACTTAATGAGCTCATTTCACATTATGTTCAGGAAGAGGAAAGATTGAAGCATGAGAAGACAGAAAGTGCTCATTTGGCCACCACCTCTAAGGACAAAAGGAAGAAGAAAATGAAGATTAATAAGGAAGCTGCGAGTACAGCACCACAAAAGAAACAGCATAAGGAACCAACTGAAGGTAGTTGTTTCTTCTGTGGAGCTACAGGTCATAAGAAGAAGAATTACACCAATTACTACGCATGGCGTGTAAAGAAAGGTATTCTTCTTCATTTGGTTTGTTCTGAGGTTAATCTAACTTCGATACCTAGACATACATGGCAGATAGATTCTGGTGTAACAACTCACATCAATATGTCTATATGCATGGTTGTCTAAGTTGCTGAAAACCAAGTGATGGTGAAAGATACATCTATGCTGTCGACGGTAAGAAGGTGGAAGTAGAGGCAATAGGAAAATTTAGATTATTGTTAAAGACTGAATTTTATTTGGATCTTGTTGAGACATTTATTGTATCATTTTAGATGGAATTTGATTTCTATTTTGTTTTGGACAAATTTGGTTATTCTTGTTCATTTGGAAATGAAAATTTTAGTTTGTTTCATGATTCAAAATTGGTTTGTTCCGATTTTTTATCAGGTTACGATAATCTTTATTCAATTGATACAATTGCTTCTTTTAATGAATCCTTGCATGTAAGTACTCGAGGTGTAAAACGAAAATTAATCGACGAGAATTCTGCCTCATTGTGGCACAAGAGATTAGGTCACATCTCCAGAAGGAGAATTGAGAGACTTGTGTTTGATGAGATTCTTGACCTTTTTGACTTCACAGATTATGATTTGTGTGTCAACTGTATAAAGGGAAACAAACCAATAAAAGGAGATTTTAAGCCAATATGATTTCGAACGTCTTAGAACTTATACATATGGATATTTGGAGACCATTCCCTACGGGTTCTTGGAATGGTCAACAATATTTTATAACGTTCATAGATAACTTTTTTAGATATGGCTACATATATCTCATTTATGAAAAATCA